AATGTCGCCAGATATTTCTGTCCAATGAAACACAGAGCTTTTAATGAGTGGTCGTAGGTGAAGATATGATTGAACTTGTGTCAAATGTGCATCCTTTGATAGTAACCCCTCCTTTGTAGTTTTGATTACTTTCTAAGCGGCTGAATTTATTGAAGAAGATTGTGCAGAAATAAAAGACTTATTGAGAATGCTATTGGCCGCCTATTCAAAAAAAACAGGGCCATAAGTAAACAAAAATACTCATATGGTATAATGTAAATATACTCAGGCTGTAACACTTTTGATATTTCAATTAATTTAGCAAATATTCTTTTGATTAATACATTAGTTCAATAAATATTATAACTATCTCAATTTGAAGTGAAGCTGAAGTAAAGCCACAAAGCAAAGCCAATCTTAGTGGATAATTTTCCCAAATATGTTTTACCGGTTAAATAAAGAAATTTTAAACCTCAAATTTTCTTGCTTCATTGTATATAGTAATTACTGCTATGGTTAGATAGATAGATGGATACTTTATTGATCCCCCGTAGGAGAAATTCTTGCCTGGCCTTAGCCATTCGTACACTCCACTCAATCATCATTTCTCTGCATGTAACGTCTGGGGCTGGTCCCTGTGTTTGCGATTACAATCGGTTGACCGACCAATCAGAGAGCGCGGAAGGCGGGTGTTGTAGTTAGTTGTGGGTGATGTCAAGAGTTTGCGTCAAACAGGGAGATAGTAGTTTGGCAATCGCGAAGAATGCGATAGAACCAGACCGGATTACTTTACTATCAAGAAATGGAATCCGGAGCAAGAGGAATGTTTAGCAAATGTAATCGCTGGCAAAGATTGTGGCGCTACTCCCCACGGGCTCCGTTAGCGGCAAAGGAGATGGCTAAAGCTAGGCTAAATGCTAAATGCTAACGACTCACCCGGGCGCATTACATACGTCACGGTAAACTCAGATCCAATTGTTTCAATCTGTAAAAGGAGTTCCCCCTCCCACCTGTTAACAGAGCCTAATGGAGCACCTCCAGACTAGCAGCAAAAGACTCATTCAGGTTTGTTGTAAAGAATGACAGCCGAAGGAACAAAGCATCTCTTGAATTGTTCCGTTCGGCAGCGCAGTGATATGAGCCTGTTGCTTCGATTACTCCTCTGAGCGGCCATAGTGTCATGCAGAGGGTGTCTGGAGTTACCCAGGATGCCCTGCATTAGAGCCCTTATCCAGTCCACACTTCTCCCCATCACAGAGACACATTTCCTGATCAGTCTGTCGAGCTGGTTACTGTCCCTCGAGGTCAGACTGCCGCCCCAACACGCAACCCCAAAGAACACGGCACTAGCTACAACAGACCGGTGAAATACAGTATGTCTTGGTTGGGTCTTGATACCACATATATCAGCACAAACAAGTCTGGATTTTATAGAACCGTTATCATTATTTACTCAAATCATTGACTGAGCCTAATTGTTAAAAAAAAATTATAATTGCAAAAATCAGAATGAGCAGAAGCCAATCAGTTAGCACTCACCTGCTGGATGGCTACACCTGCCAACTCCAATAAGTGTACTGTTGTGTTTGGAGAACAGCTTCTACGAGCTGATGGACTGGTGGTCCAAGGGTCAACGGTGGAGATTAGTCACTTGTCACTGTGGATAGAAGCAGCTTATTAGGAGAGAATGAAGATTGAACAGTGAATGCATATGACCACAGTGTAGCTTTGAGAAAATATATATGAATTAAATTGTTTTTGTACATACCACTGCAATGTGCCAATATTGCCAGTGAGAAACTCTTCACACTCAACAGTATTCAATCCAATTCAATTCAATGCATTCTTGTTTAGCCCTAAATCACAACAGTAGTTATCTCAGTACTCCAAAATGTCGCAGTCTGTCCTGTCACCGCAGTTAACTTCATTAAGGCTTTTTGCAATGATCTGAAAGCTCTTCTTGCCAGTGATCAGTGAACACGGTTTAGAGCGGCCATCAGTCTTTGCACCTATCACCCGCTGCCTTGTGCTTGTGAGATGGAGGGTTGATAGAGACATACATAATTCATCTGCGTGTCCTTTCTGTCATTGCAAAGCTGTGGCTCGGAGCACAGGGCCGCCAAGCAAAAATACAATCAATCACCTACGGTTTGACAGTTGCCACAATGGGATGTGTTGATTGGACATCACGGGACGTCCATGCAAATAGATGAGCGTGGCGGGTCCCTCTGGACAGACCTACAGCAACCACTGACAGCTCAAGTATTCAGTGTGAGATTAGTATGCAATCCCATGGTCAGCAGCAGAGCCGTAACACCTGTTTTATCAAAAGCTCCCGATGCACTCAAGCTGACCAAAACATTTACAATAAAAGACAAGCCTTCAAGAGCACTGAGACGGTTCCTGGAAAAAGTCAGCTCAACACTTTTCACGATTTGAAGTATGTTTGGCTACCTGCTAAAACACATCACGTCAACAGTAGTATTAACACGGCACTGGACAGCTGAGGCAGAGGTAAACAATAGGGAGGTAATTCAATTGAACATAGAGGTTGACTGACACGTTTTTTTTAGCTTTTTACCAACCCCCGGGTCTCCAACAGGTCTGCCCACTCAAATCAATGTCCCGTGCTCATTGGCGCATGCTCGCACCATGGCACCATTAGCGGAAGTAGACTCTAGTTCTACCTCAGCAGGACGAGAGAAACAGATGAGAGTTCTGACCGATGGATGGTGGCGCTCACTCACTCGTGCGACTGAGCTCCTCACCCTATCTCTAAGGGAGCGCCCAGCCACTCTGCGGAGGAAGCTCATTTCGACCGCTTGTATCCGCGATCTCGCTCTTTCGGTCATTACCCAAAGCTCATGACCATAGGTGAGGGAGGGAACAAAGATTGGCCGGTAAATCGAGAGCTTTGCCTTTCGGCTCAGCTCCCTCTTTACCACAACGGTCCGATACAGCGACCGCATCACTGCGCACGCTGCGCCGATCCGCCTGTCAATCTCATGCTCCATCCTCCCCTCACTCGTGAACAAGACCCCGAGATACTTGAACTCCTTCACTTGAGGAAGGACCTCTCCACCCACCTGCAGAGGGCAAGGCACCTTTTTCCGGTCGAGCACCATGGCGGTGACAAAGGGCAGCCCTGTCGGAGGCCAACATTCACCGGGAACAGGTCTGACTTACTGCCGGATATGCGAACACAGCTCTGGCTCCGGTCATACAGGGATCGGATGGCCCTCAGCAGAGGACCTCCGACCCCGTACTCCCGGATAGTACGGGGTCGGAGGAGAAAACATCCACCTTATTTAATTATTTCAAACATTTAACCCACATCACAAATAATTTGATCCAGTTTTGGTTCAGTCCAAGCTAGTACCCTTTTTGTTCAGAAAAATAAAAAATAACAGCAAACATTTCAAACAAATAATGAGATGTAAAAGATTAGTTATAAACAAATAAAGTAGGAGACCTGAGTTTAACGGTAAAGCTTTTATAAGCTTTACAAATTGAACCGGAAAACCAGTGTAACAAACATCCTTCTGTACCCAAACCAAGCCACCGACCAAAGATCAAATCACAAATGTTCAATAAAGTTAGAAAGGCCCAGCACATGAAATGATACCGCTGCATCAGTAGTGTAATAGTAGACTCAAGCTACAAGAAATATATTTATCCAAATCCAGTAACACAACACCATGACGACATAGTTTTGTGCCTGGAAACAGTGCGTCTGTGGCCTAAGGACTAAGTACTGTATATGAGCTGATTTTAACCTTCATCCACATGTGTTTGTTGATGTCCCACTTAACGGATGTTAGTGATCATCAATTAGACTGTAAAAGAGTCAGCTTGAACTCAATAATGTATATTATTCATACACAGAGATTTTATATAATGTTGTAAAACATCAGGTATAAGCGGCCAAACAAGTTTTGAAAAATGGCACATACTTTAATCCCAATGTAGACGGCATCATTACGGTCTTTAAGTATCAAGGTTCAGTTTTTCAAATCAGTACAAGTGCTCACCATGCACTACAGGCACTGGCTCCACACAGCAGCAGGGAGAAAGAATGATTGTCTCTCAGTGGTAATTAAAAGCAGACTGAAGACATTTTGGTTCGTGCTTTTCTTCAAGTGTCATGCCGAATGCCTGATGCATATTTTAGAATCCAAAATTGTTGGAGCATTTCCTGGTACATTGCCTCAAATTTAAGTGTTCTATTATTTACACCACACTGAACCTGTTTAAAATTCTCATCAAAGTGCAGCTTTTGAACCTGAACAGTTGCTTTGATTTTCACACTACATCATTAGTGAAATAACTGAGTTAAAACTGGATGAATATTAAGTGCAGAAAAGTCTCCACTGAGAGACAAATAATAAGAAGCACTCTCCTTGTCTGACTGTATGTTAGCAGGTGGATGTTCATCACTAAACTGTGCTTTGAAATGCAAATGCTGTAACCGTAGTACAACATTCAAAATAAACCCCATTTATCAGAAAAGTCAATTTCATGGCTAATAAGTTCATTACTGCAGTCATGCTTGGAGTGGTCTCTGAGATAAAACTCACACAGGAGCTAAGGGCTAAGTCGGCGGAACACAGGTCTTAATAAGGTCCCTCTTTCTCATGCTAATACTGTGCTCCGTTAAACCTTTCTGTGGACAGTGGCTGTGGGACCAGGACACAAAGCCTGAAGATAAGAAGCCGCCAGATTTGCCTGGGCTGTTTGGGGACTTCGAGGAAAGTATGTTAGTTATTATGAATATTTTAAAATGTTATATGCTTCTTCTATGACAATGTTCGAATCCAGGTTAAAAACTGTCCTGCATGCAACTGAAGGATTTTATCTTTACTCTTTTAGATGTACAGTGATCGTTTATGATTTTAATGCCTTGTGTGATTGTTTCTATCTTGTTCTGGTAAGCACTTTGAGTTGCCTCGTGTATGATTTGTGCTATACAAATAAAATTGCCTTAATAAACATATCAATCCTTGGCAATGGCATGTGGCTAATCAATGGTGAGACAAATATCGCACATCTCTATAGACAGGATGCATACCAAAGCCAAACATAGCAGTTATGGGCTCAAGCAAATCTAACATGTGCTGCTCTACCCCCCCCCCCCCCCCCCCCCCCCCCCCCCCCCCCCCCCCCCCCACCCCCCCCCCCCCCCCCCCCCCCCACCCCCCCCCCCCAGTCCCCCCCCCCCCCCCACCCCCCCCCCCCCCACCCCCCCCCCCCCCCCCCCCCTCCCCCCCACACCCCCCCCCCCCCCCCCCCCCCCCCCCCATGAAAACCGTGAATTGTTTCAGGGGGTGTCCAAACCGGTCCAATAAGGTTAAGGTCTTCAGGTTTAAGCCTGAACGCACTTGAGGAAATGGGTGGAGTCTTCTCTGCTATGATTGGTCTGCATCCACAGCGGCCATTTCTGGACCGGTTTGGACTGTCTGCTGTATATTGTGCTTAGCAGGTGGTGAGATAGCCAACATTTGTCATTTATCCAATTTCATATATGGGCATGTCATACTCATTATAAAGCTCGGAATCCAATCAAAGCAGTTTTACCATCTCGGTTGTCGGCCCCCTGGACAATTCTCATTAACTAAAGTGGCCCTCTTACTAAGAGGTTTAGACACCCCTGGCTTTAAAAAGTCAATTTGCATAATACGTCTCCTTTCAAACTAATTCTAAGTTATTGGGCTTCAGTCCCTCATAGTTTCAGGTAAAAACACAGACGGCTCTGGAACAAGATCATACAGACATTCAGCCAGAGTTAGTTCTGCTCAAATCTGCTCAGTCCCTGTAGTATTCTTCTTTTATTTTTTTCTTTACTTGTAGCTACCCTATTTTAAAAAAAGAAAAAAAAAGATTATGTTTTCTGTAATTGGCCACTCATGCACAAAGGAAAGTGTAGTGTCTGCAGACCTGGCAACAAACATACATTATTAGGCGGACGTAGCACTTTTGAGCCGTCTCCCTCAGCAGCTTTGCACTTCCTTATTTCAATAAAGAAGTGTAAAATTATTCATTTTTGAGCTCACCTTTTAGCCTGACCCTTTTCGATGTCATTGTACGCACACATTTGCTTCCTGCTTAGTGGGAGGAGTGGTACTATGGCAACGAGCACCAATGAAATACCCTTAAACGTTGTCCATTTGAGAATTACCTCCATGATTTTTTTGCAAATCTATAATTTAGGGCCGTCGTTAGACAAAACCACTTGAACGCTCTGCTAATCTCAGAGAAGCTTTCAAGCATTTTATCAAATTAGTGTTATGTGGCGCACTAAGTCGCTGGGTCCTTGTACTTTTCCATCTGAAAAAATGCAACTCTTTAACATCTGTCAAGCTGCAGTTCCATCCCTGCCTCTCCTGGTTTTACACACACTTTTAAAGCAATAATAGAAACCACCACAAACCTTATATTCTTTATCCAGTCCCCACCATTTTCATGAACATTAGTCCGACCATGCATTTATGTAAGTGCACTGGCATTTCATACAACAGTATTATTAGTTTTCTATGAATCCATTTGTTCAGCACGAGGATGGCATTGTCAATGTACAATTCTATTTCATTGAATCAAGAACATGGTGCATTCAATTCCAAGCATCGCTGCGGAGCACACCAAATGACTAATGCAATCATTTCATGTTTCAAGCTTTTCTTCAAAGAGTGGATTGTGTAACCGTGAAAGTGTACTGCCGCAGATGTTTGAGTCCAAATGCATGGAAATACAAAAGCACAAAATACTGTAGAAGTTGGGGAACATGTGCACTGTGTACGTTTTCTGTTGGGGGATCTACCGGTATCTTGTCCCACAGAGGTTTGCAACTATATTACTATGGCTTATTACGATTTTCAGGCACATTTTTAACTAAAGCATAGTTGAATAATGTGATGATGGAAAAAAAGTTCTATCATTATCATTGTTAGTGTTTGTGTGAAGCCTTTTGTTGTCAAATAATCTATGTTCATATTATGACGTCATTGAGCCGCTCTGGGGATATCTCAAACCTGCAGTTCATGCAAGGCGGCCCAGCAATTTACTGGAACTAAAGGTTTTTGCCAAGAAATGGGCAGAACCACAGCCACAGAAGACTCCAAGCTGACATAGACGTCTTACTTCAATGAGGAGCGTAGAAAGTGTTGCGTCAGACAAAAAAAAATTATCCGCCGTCGTCAAAGATTTGAGAATCATAACGAGCCCTTTTTTAGTACTGCGGCCACGTGGTACATTACCAGTGAAATGAGCTAGATGCGTTGAGTTCTGGCAACCCGGATCACAGGCTTTCTGATTGGTGAAACAGTAGAGGGCAGGACACTTTTGAAATTTGCAAACACTGTATTCCGGTTGAACTACTTTTATCAGTTGAAGAATATTCAAAAAGACCATGATTTATGAATGCCTTTTGACAGATTGGGGCCATTTAATGATGACTTAACATGCAATTCTAACATATTTATTTTGACAATCAATGGCTTCACACAACCAAGAATGAGACAAAAAATAGTTAGCATTTTCATTCAATATCTCTGAAACATGCACCTAAAATATACGTTTCTGCCTGGGTATGTAAACTTTGGAATATTTTAGGCAAAACATCGCTATCTTCCCTGAGGCTGAGACTGACATTTTGAATTGAATTGTGCAGTCATAAAATTACATATTTTTGGGTAATTTCTCATTGATCACGCAGAGATATGGGACTACAATTCTGTATCTTTGGGAACATTTCCGTAATCACATTTCTGTGGACGAAGCAGGTGGCAGACCCTCGAGCAGAAAATTTCCGGATTTCACTTTTCATCTGAAGTGGCTCCATAAATAACTGTGCTGTGTTTTGCTTGGCGTTTCCTACAGGCAAATAGCAAATGAATGCTAATAGAGTCAAATGCTTCTCGATCTTAGCGCTTCCTCTTTCTTGAGATTTGGCAAATTTACTGCAGTCTCCAAACAGACAAAGGACCACTGATGTGACTCACACTATGCGCACTATGCTTTTTGATACTGTCATTTTCTGTCTGTTCTGGGTTTGAATTGCGTTTATGAGCACCCCTATAGTATAACTGTATCCATGGGAACCAAACAAACTTTATGAATATGTAGAAGTAAAAGAAGAGTATTTTTATAGCTGACAGACACCTAAATGATGATTTTCTGTCTTATATCTTTTCACATATGTACTTTGCACTTATACCACATGAGAATGCTCCAACATGAAGTTCAAATATTTGTGAAACCAACAGCATTGATTCTTGCAGGTTCATTTTGTACATTGGTGTACAGTAAAGAAATGTTAAAACGTCAAAAACTCTTTGAAATATACATTATTTATTTTTACCATTTTGTAATTTAGACACAATACTGTAGCGTCAATATTGCCAGACTTACTGGAAGTGCCTATTGGTATTATGTATTATAACAGTGAATATATCTGAGACCAGTAGAAGTTGTCACAAACTTATGGATGTTGTAATGTGAATACATTGAATTACAAAACTTCTGTTCTGTGTGTTGTTCTTTTGACTTGTGCCACAATGCTTTTCATATCTACTCATCACATGTAGCGTAACAATCACTGAAGGGTCGAGGTTACAGATATATTTACATTGTTCCACTGTAAAGCTGGGGTACCTTTTTCATAAATGATACATTGTGTTTGTCCCATACGTAAAATGTCTCATTCATCTAATTAGAGAATATGTTTTACTTTTCATACTTTGCAATATGAGGGAATCTCTGGGAATCACTGTTTGACGATTTGGTCTGAGAGAGTTTTGTCTGACAAATATGAGGCTGAATTAAAACTATAGATTTGATCGAGGGACGACAGTGGCTCAGTTGGTAGAGCATTGGCCTTTGAGCCTGAAGGTTATGGGTTCGAGCCCACCACAAGACCTACTTCATGACTCCCACTGATGTCTGCTCTCGTTGTGTCCTTGGGCAAGACACTTAACCCCACTCTGCCTGAAGCCCCTGCTGAATTATCAAGGCTCCTGTGGACTCACCACCTGCAGGAGGATCAGTGAGGGCTGGTGCTCTGTGCACTGGGTGCAGCTCTGACTGACACCCCCCTGACCCAGAAATGGATTACAGTAAGAGGACAATATATTTGTATCTTTTCAGTTCAAAAAGGGTCAAATATGATTCATACATGTGACCTGTTATCTGGGGACACAATGAAAATTTGACAAAATGCCACATTAAAATGTTGAGAAATGTAAGATGCAAATAGAAATTCCATCATTTGTGTCATCAATAAACAAAATCACGCTTTGAAAATGGCAAAACCAAACATTGCTGAAGGTTTGTGAACATTGTGTGTTTATTTTATGAGCTTTACTCCCTTCATCTCAGCTCTAGTCTACCCTCTCTAACTACTTCTATCACAGTTTGGATCTATCACTACTTTGAAAACCTGTCTTTAACATGGTGCAGCATACTGAGACCATGTTACGAGACGGGCCAATAATAACAAGAGTGCACATCTGAGCGGGTTTGGTCTCGGTTCAGGAGACCAAACCCGGAGTTCAGGAGGGTTTAGGGTTTCAGAGAAATGATGTAGACGTGTCATTGCTTTGGATGTGCGGGTGCAGGTGCTCATGGTGCGTGCTCGTGCTAGATCACTTTAGTGTCACTCTAAAAGCAGAACCATCAGAGCTGCTCACGTGCGACCGCCTCCATACAGTAGGTGTCCTGTTTGTGCAGAGGGAGGAGGCGACACTGTACAGACTGTATGTGTGTGTGTGTGTGTGTGTGTGTGTGTGTGTGTGTGTGTGTGTGTGTGTGTATGTATGTGTGTGTGTGTGTGTGTGTGTGTGTGTGTGTGTTTGTGTGTGTATGTGTGTGTATGTGTGTGTATGTGTGTGTATGTGTGTGTATGTGTGTGTGTGTGTATGTGTGTATGTGTGTATGTGTGTATGTATGTATGTATGAATGTATGAATGTATGAATGTATGAATGTATGAGTGTATGAGTGTATGAATGTATGAGTGTATGAATGTATGAATGTATGAATGAATGAATGAATGAATGAAGGAAGCAGAAGCGCAAATTCAAACTGAAAGACCGGCCACGGCTCTCACCACCAGGGCCTACCAATCACACAGCCCGGCCAGCCCCTTGACAAGACGCTCACAGCAAAGCGGGCAGTTTAAAAGCAGCCACTCCCCGATAAACAGCTCTTCCTGAAGCTCTTAACACCCACCACCTCCCCAGCGCTTCCTCGGCTCCTGGTTCCGGCTTCTGCTCTGGCTTCTGGTTCCGGCTCCTGGTCTGGCTCCTGGTC